TGGCAATACTTCCATTTGTAATGTAGTAATGCATTTTAAAAATCAATAATGCCACCAAACGCCACAATCAAAATAGAAAACTATATAACATGGTACACAACGATGTCGTTTGTACCAAAACAAAAGATTATATATTCCATCATTTTACAGCAAACAACAAAGGAAAAACTAACACTCCTGTACAATATATACATAAATTAGATTCCTTAACCTCTTATTACGACTTTGCTAGTGTTGTAGTGGACTCACTCTAAACTTTAGATTCCTGAAACCAAACATTTTCTTGAGTGTATTGCGTATCATAATTAATGAAAATATTAAAAATATGGATCAAATATTATTTACCAAAATATGTTCACAATCTAAGAAGAATGTCAAAATCAAAGTGTTTTCAACTCACTTTGAAATCTCATAATCTCTATCAATATACCAACATAATAAATAATTCACATGCGCCAACAACATATAAGCAATGCCAGACTATCAACAATATAAGCNATCCATGACAGTAGAATATATAATCAAAAGCACCTGTGTAATGGGAACAATGAGAAGATATCCACAGATCAAAGAATCCAAAGAACCCAGTTTATATAACAATGGAAAAAAAAAACAATTTTCAATATAAATGTTGATTAATCAGTCGTAATAGCCAATCATTTTGCTATGTCATGTATGCATGTGTATGCTTGTATAATTACAACACAACCTCTGATTAACCTTACGTCCGCAAATTTTAATCCTAACAAAGAATTAATACACCAAAACAGACCCATTGAAGGTTGTAGAACTAAAACCCACCCGAGAAAAACTCTGAAATTACTCACACAATCTATATCCGCAGCATGAATGCATGCAAATCCCACAGAGAGAGAGAGAGAGAGAGAGAGAGACTGCAGAAATTATGGAAGCAATAAAACCATCACTTAACACAGAGAAAATAACAGTACTGCAACATTGGAAAGTTGAGACAAACCTGTGGAATGTAGAAAAGAAAAAAGATATTTGTGGGTGTGGTTTTCTGGCTTTTCGGTTATGGTGGCGGAGGCAGAGTGGTGGAAGAGAAACTGTATGCGAGCAAAACCAGGGCTCAGTGGTCCCGGTTCCTGCTCGTATACAGATTGCAAAGAGAAACAGAGAAGAGAGAGAGAGAGAGAGAACCGCTTGGGGGGTGCGTATGGTCTTGTATATAAAGTTGGTAACTTGGCATATCTCTCCAAACTCCTAGATTTGCTCTAAATTCTAATTAAAGTTTAAACACCGTTATTAGCTGGCACTTCCAATATTCATCACTACACATCCCGAATCCTAATACAACTAAAGATACAAAAGAATTTATTTTTTAAAATTATATGAATATAATTAATGTGCTAATGATGGGTAAAATTGGAATAAATTATTGAATAAAATGGTAATATTATATCATTATCATTACGTATTATCACAATTTAATAATAAAATAACAAATAAACACGTAGAAATTTTCAAATTTTCACCTATCGGAACTATTCCGAATCAATTCACAAATTTTTGGTTGATTTATTGAATAAATTGCAATATTTTGCAAATGATCGCGTAATAATGCAAAATACTTATAAAAATTTTGCATTCTTATTCAACTCTGCATTTATATTTATATATATTTTAAAAATATATATTTGTTATATTTGAACAGTTTAACTGTAAAAATAGTCCAAAAATATTTAATTAAAATTTTAAAATGAATAACAAAAAATATAAATATATGATATATTTTGCAACCTTATATCGAATTTTCAGCCAATTTTTATGAACAAAATTCGGTTAAAACATTATCCTCGATCGAATAAGATTGATTATAAATTAGTCTTCTACAACGCATCGACTCCGGTCGTGTGAACAGCCCTATAAAACAAGTGAATCCCTAGGTCTTGAATGCTAGTATACAAAGAATTGTTCAAGCAGTCAAAGGTGGTAGCGAAAGAATGTCGATGGTCAGCAACGTTGTCGGTTGGGATACTGAATCTTTTGCTTTGGTTGAATAATTAATTAATAGAAGTCAAGTCAAAGAGTATCTCTAAAATATAGGTAATAACATAATAAAAAATTAAAAATTAAAAATTTCGGCCATTAAGTTTAGCAAATCGTTAGCACTATTTTTGGGGAACCAGTTGTCACACTGTGTTGAATCTGGGACCTGAGATCCACTCCCCCAAGAAGCTATACCAATCAGAACCAAAGTGGTGGCTATAATTATTCTTTTGAGAAGCAGCATTCCCTCACACCACACCAAGGTCCTCCAAATCCCTTATGTGGTGTGGTTATACCAGTTATATATATACTTACATATCTATCTAGCTTTGGTTATACCTATAGCTGTTTTGAAATGGCAGAAGATTTGTATGACGGAGAGTTTTGGCTCCCTCCTCAGTTCCTCATTGACGACGACATACTCATGGACTTCAAGAAAAGCACTTACAACGCCAAGACAAGTGAAGGAGACGTGTGGTTTAGCAGAGAAATTGATGGAGGAGCCTACTTTCATAATGATTTCCCAACTGGGTTTGGCTCGTTTTGTCCTAACTCGGATCTGAGTTCACCGGTTGAGTCCGTGGTGGGTTCGACCAAGACTGAGAGTGATGAAGAAGAGTACCTGAAATTGGCTCGTTTCTACCATTCAAGACATGTGAAAAGTGTGTTTAATAAACAAGCTTTACACAAAAAATCGTAAAAAACGTTTTTATGAAACACTCTTTTCTCGGTGCCTAAAATTCTTTTCCTCATAAAAAAGGGGCAGTTGAATCCGATTTTTAACAAACACGGACTTGTTGAATACGTTTTTTTTTAATAAAAATAGAATTATTGAATTCGCTTTTAAAAAGTGTCGTAATTTAGTAAATAAGTTTAAAAGTATCGTATTTTGGTATTAAAGTTCTAAAACAATTGTGTTTTGGTAATAAATTCCACAATTCATATGGTTCTTGTAATAATTTTTTTTTCTTAAATTATAATTTAAATTATTGCTCCTCCAAAAAAAAATTGTCAATCCTCACTCCTAATACAAATTTAAAAGATTAACGGGTTAGAATTAAATAATCGGATATATATATATATTGTCACACCCTATCCCAAGAGATCCTCTTTGGTTTTTCAGATATGGAAGCGTAACTCAACACGTGGCAATACTTCTATTTGTAATGTAGTAATGCATTTTAAAAATCAATAATGCCACCAAACGCCACAATCAAAATAGAAAACTATATAACATGGTACACAACGATGTCGTTTGTACCAAAACAAAAGATTATATATTCCATCATTTTACAGCAAACAACAAAGGAAAAACTAACACTCCTGTACAATATATACATAAATTAGATTCCTTAACCTCTTATTACGACTTTGCTAGTGTTGTAGTGGACTCACTCTAAACTTTAGATTCCTGAAACCAAACATTTTCTTGAGTGTATTGCGTATCATAATTAATGAAAATATTAAAAATATGGATCAAATATTATTTACCAAAATATGTTCACAATCTAAGAAGAATGTCAAAATCAAAGTGTTTTCAACTCACTTTGAAATCTCATAATCTCTATCAATATACCAACATAATAAATAATTCACATGCGCCAACAACATATAAGCAATGCCAGACTATCAACAATATAAGCAATGTCAAGTTATCTACAACATTTAAGTAATGTCAAGCTGTCTCACCACAACTGCGCAGTGTCCAAATCAACAACATGTAAACCATGTCAAGCTATCAATAACTCTAGCACAGTGGATACTACTCAAATGACAAGCTTCTCAACAAAACATATTAATTCATAGTTTAAGCAACTTAACTCAAATCAATTCGANACTCTGAAATTACTCACACAATCTATATCCGCAGCATGAATGCATGCAAATCCCACAGAGAGAGAGAGAGAGAGAGAGAGAGACTGCAGAAATTATGGAAGCAATAAAACCATCACTTAACACAGAGAAAATAACAGTACTGCAACATTGGAAAGTTGAGACAAACCTGTGGAATGTAGAAAAGAAAAAAGATATTTGTGGGTGTGGTTTTCTGGCTTTTCGGTTATGGTGGCGGAGGCAGAGTGGTGGAAGAGAAACTGTATGCGAGCAAAACCAGGGCTCAGTGGTCCCGGTTCCTGCTCGTATACAGATTGCAAAGAGAAACAGAGAAGAGAGAGAGAGAGAGAGAACCGCTTGGGGGGTGCGTATGGTCTTGTATATAAAGTTGGTAACTTGGCATATCTCTCCAAACTCCTAGATTTGCTCTAAATTCTAATTAAAGTTTAAACACCGTTATTAGCTGGCACTTCCAATATTCATCACTACACATCCCGAATCCTAATACAACTAAAGATACAAAAGAATTTATTTTTTAAAATTATATGAATATAATTAATGTGCTAATGATGGGTAAAATTGGAATAAATTATTGAATAAAATGGTAATATTATATCATTATCATTACGTATTATCACAATTTAATAATAAAATAACAAATAAACACGTAGAAATTTTCAAATTTTCACCTATCGGAACTATTCCGAATCAATTCACAAATTTTTGGTTGATTTATTGAATAAATTGCAATATTTTGCAAATGATCGCGTAATAATGCAAAATACTTATAAAAATTTTGCATTCTTATTCAACTCTGCATTTATATTTATATATATTTTAAAAATATATATTTGTTATATTTGAACAGTTTAACTGTAAAAATAGTCCAAAAATATTTAATTAAAATTTTAAAATGAATAACAAAAAATATAAATATATGATATATTTTGCAACCTTATATCGAATTTTCAGCCAATTTTTATGAACAAAATTCGGTTAAAACATTATCCTCGATCGAATAAGATTGATTATAAATTAGTCTTCTACAACGCATCGACTCCGGTCGTGTGAACAGCCCTATAAAACAAGTGAATCCCTAGGTCTTGAATGCTAGTATACAAAGAATTGTTCAAGCAGTCAAAGGTGGTAGCGAAAGAATGTCGATGGTCAGCAACGTTGTCGGTTGGGATACTGAATCTTTTGCTTTGGTTGAATAATTAATTAATAGAAGTCAAGTCAAAGAGTATCTCTAAAATATAGGTAATAACATAATAAAAAATTAAAAATTAAAAATTTCGGCCATTAAGTTTAGCAAATCGTTAGCACTATTTTTGGGGAACCAGTTGTCACACTGTGTTGAATCTGGGACCTGAGATCCACTCCCCCAAGAAGCTATACCAATCAGAACCAAAGTGGTGGCTATAATTATTCTTTTGAGAAGCAGCATTCCCTTACACCACACCAAGGTCCTCCAAATCCCTTATGTGGTGTGGTTATACCAGTTATATATATACTTACATATCTATCTAGCTTTGGTTATACCTATAGCTGTTTTGAAATGGCAGAAGATTTGTATGACGGAGAGTTTTGGCTCCCTCCTCAGTTCCTCATTGACGACGACATACTCATGGACTTCAAGAAAAGCACTTACAACGCCAAGAAAAGTGAAGGAGACGTGTGGTTTAGCAGAGAAATTGATGGAGGAGCCTACTTTCATAATGATTTCCCAACTGGGTTTGGCTCGTTTTGTCCTAACTCGGATCTGAGTTCACCCGTTGAGTCCGTGGTGGGTTCGACCAAGACTGAGAGTGATGAAGAAGAGTACCTCACTGGTCTAACTAAGAAACTGGCTCGTTTCTACCATTCAAGACGTGTGAAAAGTGTGTTTAATAAACAAGTTATTCACAAAAAAATCGTAAAAAACGTTTTTACGAAACACTCTTTTCTCGGTGCCTACAATTTTTTTCCTCATAAAAGCGGGGTTGTTGAATTCGATTTTTAACAAACACGGATTTGTTGAATCCGTTTTTTAACAAAAATGGAGCCATTGAATCCGCTTTTAAAAAGTGTTGTAATTTGGTAAATAAGTTTAAAAATATCGTATTTTTGTATTAAAGTTTCAAAACAACTTTGTTTTGGTAATAGATTCCACAATTCATATGGTTCTTGTAATAATTTTTTTTTCTTAAATTATAATTTAAATTACTGCTCCTCCAAAATAAAATTGTCAATCCTCACTCCTAATACAAATTTAAAAGATTAACGGGGTAGAATTAAATAATCACATATATATATATATTGTCACACCCTATCCCAAGAGATCCTCTTTGGTTTTTCAGATATGGAAGCGTAACTCAACACGTGGCAATACTTCTATTTGTAATGTAGTAATGCATTTTAAAAATCAATAATGCCACCAAACGCCACAATCAAAATAGAAAACTATATAACATGGTACACAACGATGTCGTTTGTACCAAAACAAAAGATTATATATTCCATCATTTTACAGCAAACAACAAAGGAAAAACTAACACTCCTGTACAATATATACATAAATTAGATTCCTTAACCTCTTATTACGACTTTGCTAGTGTTGTAGTGGACTCACTCTAAACTTTAGATTCCTGAAACCAAACATTTTCTTGAGTGTATTGCGTATCATAATTAATGAAAATATTAAAAATATGGATCAAATATTATTTACCAAAATATGTTCACAATCTAAGAAGAATGTCAAAATCAAAGTGTTTTCAACTCACTTTGAAATCTCATAATCTCTATCAATATACCAACATAATAAATAATTCACATGCGCCAACAACATATAAGCAATGCCAGACTATCAACAATATAAGCAATGTCAAGTTATCTACAACATTTAAGTAATGTCAAGCTGTCTCACCACAACTGCGCAGTGTCCAAATCAACAACATGTAAACCATGTCAAGCTATCAATAACTCTAGCACAGTGGATACTACTCAAATGACAAGCTTCTCAACAAAACATATTAATTCATAGTTTAAGCAACTTAACTCAAATCAATTCGAAAAAATTGATTTCTCACATATAAGAGAATAAACTTGATATATCATATACTTTTATTTTCAAGTATTATGAAGTAGTACACTTCATCTTTACTGCTGAAAAATACCCTTCATTTCTTTATGGTCGATTCTTATGTGTAACCGAAGTAGTAGCCTCCGACCCTAACAGTTAACACATAGATTAATGAAAATGAGTATCGAATCAAAAATAGCTTAACTAATGCAAATCAATGCACAAGAATGTGTTTTGTGACGATTTGTATTCACCACAATTTAACTTCAGTACTCAAAATTCGAAGATCAACTGACCCCTCATGCATTTACGAACTTAGTGAGTATCCTCTACAACCTCAAATTCGAATATAAATCCTTATTACCACTCAACCTATGTGCACTTACAATTAGTTTAATAGGAATCAGACATCTCTTTTTATACAGTCAAATGCATCGTTTCAGATCATTGCGCGTTATCGCACACAAAACCCTAATTTGGATCCTTGATTTTCAATCCAAATTCAAAATAATCCATCATAAGTTTTAAAATATGTTAATAATTCATAAATAATGTAATACATAATTTCAAAATGAATTTGAAAAACTTCAACTGATTCGGAATTGAGAAACTCTATCCTGCGTTGCTTTTCAATCCGAAATAACAAAAAATAAAATGATGTTATTTTTCAATGAATTTTCATACACATACTCAAATAACCTACCTAGGAATGAATATAAAATTTATTTTTTCAAAGTCACCCAAAAACTGGGTCAAATTGGCCCCAAAGGGCAAAACAATAATTTTAATCCTCATTTTGATTCGACCTTCAGATCGATTTCAAATTTTATCGGGATCTCTGCATGGATGTTGCGGAACTTTTGGCACCAACCAGAGGTCAATCGGAGGTCAGACACTCCATCACGCGTCGTTGGGGTGCACTGGTGTACCTCATCCTCCGTCATCTTCTTCCTTGATCACTTTGACCAAAATTTTAGGCTCCTCCCATCAGCCCTAACCTCTTTACTTCTCAACCTTATTTCTCACTACTCAATACACCTTTTCACCTAATTTTTGAACCTAAACACTCACCACACATCACTCTAACAAACTCCATAATTCTCAAACTTCAAATTAAGCTTAAACCCATAAACAAAACTGGTCAAAGTAAACAAAAAATAAGGTTTTTAGTTTATGGCCAGACCTAGAACTTGTATTTTAACCATCTTAACAACTTCTAAATCCATTTCTGAGGTCACCAACTGATTCCTAAGGTCCATTTTAGCTAGGAACAACCTTCTCTCCAAAACTTAAGCTTCAAAACTAAGAGATCAAAAACTCACTATGGCCGAAATTTCATCACCACCACCCTACCACCTCCGACCATGGCAGGCTTTGAAATCACTACCAAAATACTCCTATACCTCCCCACAACACAATCATGTTATCCAAATTAACCAAAATGACCTTAAACTCAAAACCCATTTCATAAAAACCTAAAACCCGAAAATTTAAAACATGAATTCGAGCCATTGTAGTACATGATACTATGAGATTCCTAACCCTCAAATTAGTCCAGTAGCATACCTTTAATCTTTCGAAGTAGCTTCTTCCACAAATCCAAAATACTAAATTTGATTTTCTTTCTCTAACTTCTCTCTTCTCCCTCTATCCTCTCTTGGCGATTTTTCCTTATCTAGAGACTTGTTGAAGTCTTAAGCATCTCCTCCACCACTTTGGAAACTTGGAGAAGTATGGGGAGAGCTCTTGTGCTGCCAAGCAGCAGCTTGGAAAGAAACGCCATATTTTTGTATGTATGTGTGTATATATATATATATATATATAATTTCGTGACATGTTTTTGTATGATTTAGTGTAGCACTAGATTAACTTGGTTTTGTTATAACTTAGATTGAGTGCATTTTTTATTTTTTGTTTCGGCCCAGGGGTGATTAGTTTAGTTTAGTTTTTTTTTGTTTCATAAGTATGAGGGATCTGAGTTAATTATGCGTAATTCGATTAACCCCCTCTCCAATTCAGTCAAAAACAGACTATCTTTGCCGAGACTAGGATATTCATAAGGGATATAAATCCCTTATGGTCTGGTTTCAAGGTATTACTAAAATTCAAACTCAGGATGCCTGAGTTTATATTTAGTCTCTGTTACCACTTAAGTTACCTTGATATTAGAGTAGTTGAGATTCGAGAGTAAAGAAGGATATAAGATTTTTTGTTTGTGACTTATGTATATACGTCTATCCGAACATGGCATGATCAAATAGGGTGGGATTTTTTTCAGTCAGTAAATAGGATTGAGTTAGCGTCAAGTAATCTAACACGATTAATGTATTATGATCATTAAATTGATAATAAAACTAGGTCAATATTGAGACCCACTATTAATTTAAAGGACAAAGTATATCAAATCTTAAATTAGGTCAAAACAGCTCATTTTATTTGTAGAGTCTCCAAAGAACTTCTCACTATATATGTCTTCCCTCACCCATATGAAAGATCTACAAAATTAATGGATTACGATTGATGACCAGACACAAATTTGAGACGTAAAGCGATTGATCAATACAATAATAAACTAAGTTGAGCTAATATTTATCATGCTTTTACCATTTTTTGCATGATAAAAAACATTTAATTTGAGTGGGTTAATCCCATTGACCTTGTTTCATAGATTCCAAATCTGCTGATCTATTCTGACTAAGGTAGTGTTTGATAACCTCATGTTTTTGTTTTCATTTTATGGCAAAAATAAAAAAATAAACAAAAATTTGGTGAATATTTTCGTTTTTTTTAATTTCTCCGTTTTGAAAACAAAGCTAAAATATGGTAACATCAAGGAGGATGTTTTTGAAAACATCAATAAAAAAAAAAACAAACAAACGCGCGGTTTAAAATAGGAGTTAATGAGATCTTGACTTCGATCCTCCTTAGCAAGAAAAAATGGATTTTTTTGCTTGAGTATAAATAGCCATTTCTTTCTCTCTCTCTCTCTCTGCCAACGACGAAGAAGAAGGTGAAGTCATCACCATCGCCAATCGCTGTGAAGCATCCACAAGCCATTACTCCATCTTCAAGGTTAGATTTCACTCCATCTTCATTGGGCTCTGTACCTCCAAGTCCTAGATATGTACTCCAAGCCTTAGATCTATGNGATGTGAGGTTGGGTGGTTGTTAGTGGTGGGTTTAGGTGGTAATTTTTTGGTATAATACCAAATATATTTTTTATTTTTTTTTTCACAATATTTTTAAATATAAATAACTATCAAATATGTTTTATATTTTTAATTTTTATCATAAAAAAATTAAAATTTTTTTTATTTTTAAAAAAAAAACATAAAAACGTAAACGTTACCGAACACGCCCTAAAAGTGTAGATAGTAACAAAAGTGCAAGTTGATCCAAAACATGATAGAATTAAATAAGATTAGGTTAACGTCAGCCACATTTAATTTAATACATTAAATTATAATTGTGACTATCACTCGACACAAATTATTTAGCCCCGCCCTCCCTCATTTGTTTCTAACAAAACAATGATATGAAACGTCATGCTCCTCTAGCATGACGAAACTGCAATTGATGTCTTGGGGTGCACGTACGATTTTTTATCATTTCTCATCAATGCAGTGAGGAAGAAACATCAATCACCATCTAAACAACCAACCAAGGGATGGAAGGGAATATCAAAAAATGTGCATTATGTTTGGGTACTTTTTCATTTGATAGAGATCGTTACCAAACAATATCATTGCAGTTACTGAGAAGACCGGCGAACCCAACCACCTTATTTAAAAATTTAAATTTTTCGATTTGGTATTGTTCGTTACGTACGTCTTTAAATTTTTTGATGAATAATTAAGTTTTATATATGTTCTCTTAAAGAGGTTGTAAGTTGTTTCGCAAGAAAGTGTAATATATGTCGTTCAATGTATTTGAATCATCCAAGATACCTGAGTTTTAGACTTAAGAATAGCTCAAATCAAATCCTCCATTTTAATTACTCAAAATATATTGTAGCATGCATATATATATATATATATATATATATATAGAGAGAGAGAGAGAGAGAGAGAGAGAAAAGGCTGAATGGCTCTCCAAAATTGGAGAGCCAAAAGGTAAAATGGGAAATAGAGAATGAGATAAAGAGAGGGTGGGAGAGGATTTTTGATATTTATCTAAGTAAAATAGTTAAAAATTAGAAAATAGAGAATGGGTTGGAGTTATTCTTACCTTCTCAAGTTCCCAACTTCCATCACACATTATTTTTTTTGAAATTTGATTGAAGATCCAAATTTTCATTTATCAAATTTGTCGTAAAATTGATAGTGCAAGAGTTATAGCAATGAGATCCTTAGAAAATCAAATGATGCTGATTGAAAACTAGTACAAAAACTAATGTCACACTGCCCGACATACCATACAAAAAGATTAGCATATAAGATCATGCCATGGTATCAGTTGATGGATCTATTGCCTTCTTATACGTGTAGCACTTTGCAACCAAGAGGTACATTCCCAAATTGAGCACACTCAACACTGCCAGAAGCCAGAAAAAGTAGTGAAGATGTCCATAATTCAAGTTATCAGGTATCCACCCAGGGCCACCATGCCTAGTACTCAATTCTGTAACAATACTGACCAAGACAGTGCTTAAATAGTTCCCGAGAGCGGCCGTGGTAAGTGAAAGAGCCGAGCACAGGCTTCTCATGGCGTCCGGGGCTTGCTCATAGAAGAACTCCAGTTGACCGATGAATGTAAAAACTTCTGCACAACCAATTATGAAATATTGTGGCACCTGCCAAAAAACTGATATTGGTATGTGTTTGAGCTCATAGTAATTGTTCTCTCGTACAAGTCTCAGCCTGATGAGCTCTAAAGTTCCAGCAGCCAACATAGCAAAAATGGAGATGACAAGGCCAATTGCAATACGCTGAAGCTGCGTAAAACCATTTTTGTGGCCCGTGAGCCTCCGGGCCAAAGGCACGATAACACGGTCGTAGACAGGAACCCAAAAGATTACGCTGATGGTGTCGAAAAGGGAGAGAGAAGCTGAGGGGATTTGGAATGAATGGGCAATGTTAAGGTCCATTGTGTTGCCCTGGAGGACAAATAAAGTGCCCATTTGACTGTAGACACAGCTGAAGATGATGCCAGAGGCCCATATAGGGAGTAATCGGATAATGGACTTGAGTTCTTCAACCTGTGTAACAGTGCAGAGTCTCCATGCATTAACTGAGCCTTTGATCCGGTCTGATTCAGTTTCCACTGCTGCCTTGTCAAAGAAACTGAGTGAAACATCCATGGAAAACAAAAGGTCAAATTAGTATGCCTACAAAACTAAATTGAGTAGCAAAAGGGCTGTGGCTGTCCATCGAACAAATTTGGTGACGTGAGACGAGTTTGTGTCGTGTTTTAACGGGTTTATTTCAAAAAATATTCTACTCATATCCGATTCAGTTATTAAATTATATCTAACGAATCGTGTCGTATATGAATAGTATATAATTGGTATATACACAAATCGTATTATATATTTCTTTTTATTGGTTTTACTCGTACTCAATTCGTTTTTTAATCGTATCGTGTCAGATTTATTCGTTTTCAAAACGGGTAACTTAAGAAAAATTTAAACTCTATGATGTCATGTCGTGTTAACGGGTCTGTATTATATTTTGACACTCTTAAATCAGGCCTGTGAGGAAGTTGGCTCAAAGCACGGCCCCAGTAGCAGCTGCAACCAGCCCAACCCGGCAAAGAGGTCCGTCGGCCTCACCCTCCCAAAGGCCATTTTGTCACTAAGCCCCAAGGGCTGGCCAAAAGCCCGGCCTGTCTATCCGCCCAAGAAAAACATGTCCAATATTCAGACTACGGACAAGTCCGGCCAAGCCCAATAGGGCCCGGTGTGCCCGAGTTTTTTGTCTGGCCCATGGACCAATTAAAAGGAATATTGTATGCTTTACCTCAACTGTTTTGTGTGATCTAGTTTTCGGCTTCCTTTGACTACAGACTCCTCCTCAGCAGTTTCATACAGAAGAGACTTCTCTTTAGGCACTTCCACTTCAAATTTTCTGAATGATGCAACTACCACCTGGCAGATTCGAGTCAGGGGACTCCCTCCAGGCCTCAGATTCCGATACAATCGCGTACCGGAAAAAAAACTCACCACTGCAACCGCCATTGCCACTGCCGGTATACCAAAACCCCAACCCCAACCCACATTGGTTTGTATCCAGACCAGCACAGAAGAAGCAACAAGTGCACCAATGTTGATTGAGAAATAGAACCAGTTGAAGAAAGAGCTCTTGCTTTTCTTCTCAGTCTCATCTGAGTCATCAAATTGATCTGCTCCGAATGATGACACACAGGGCTTAATGCCTCCAGTGCCAAGAGCTATCAGGTAAAGCCCTAAAAAGAAAAATCCAGTTTGCAATCCTGATGGTTGGCAGACATTTTTTTCATCACAGGTTGGCTTTAGTCCATGGACAGATGCTGATAATGTCAACAATGTCATCCCCTGCATCAAGTGACATGTTTCCAATATGTCAGGAGAAACGTTAAATGTACAACGAGTATCAGAGTAGCATGGTTCAAAGTATGATGCAGCAGCAGAAGACTATATGACACATCAAGACTGTCGAAAACAGCGGTGATCAAGCACCAATTAAGATTGATTTTGAGTGACAGTGTCAAAAAATTTCATAAGACTCAATTTCGGAAAACTCTCGATAATCTGAACAAGATTGAATCATGTATCATTCAACCCATAAAAACGACGTTTAGGGTGCTTTTTAGACATTTTTTTATTTTATCCGACTGTTTGGGATATTTTTGAAATATTACGTACTTGTTTGGTTTTTCTAGAAATTTAGGACCTTTAGAGTTTCATATTTATATGGCGTTAAAAACTAATTTAGTAGTTATTTGGTTTATTTTGAATAAAACTTTGAAACGAGTTCTATTTTAATTTTCAATTGATTTGGTATTCTTAGGAATCAACAAAGATCTTGAAGATTGTAATTTGATATTATTACGATAATCAACGGATTACAATTTCTGCTGTTTGATCTGATTTTTTTATTTACGCTACCTTGNGGCTGACAATGATTTGATGCACACTTTTGGTGCACATAGAATTATTCTAAAATGATAATTGGTGTTGTTTTGCTTGGAATCTGAATTCACTATAATCCTCAACAAAATAATTATTGAACTTAACCTAGCTTAGCCCCCAACATGTTCTTAATTATTTTTTCTCTCTCTCTCTCTCTCTCTCTCTCACTCAGTGGCGGCCCGACACATATTGAGGCCTAAAGCGACAAATTTGAATAGAATCTTTTGTTTTGTTTTATTTGTTTTTAACATTACTACAATTGCTTTTTTTAAAANGATTTTGAGTGACAGTGTCAAAAAATTTCATAAGACTCAATTTCGGAAAACTCTCGACAATCTGAACAATATTGAATCATGTATCATTCAACCCATAAAAACGATGTTTAGGGTGCTTTTTAGACATTTTTTTATTTTATCCGGCTGTTTGGGATATTTTTGAAATATTACGTACTTGTTTGATTTTTCTAGTAATTTAGGACCTTTAGAGTTTCATATTTATATGGTGTTAAAAACTAATTTAGTAGTTATTTGGTTTATTTTGAATAAAACTTTGAAACGAGTTCTATTTTAATTTCCAATTGATTTGGTATTCTTAGGAATCAACAAGGATCTTGAAGACTGTAATTTGATATTATTACGATAATCAACGGATTACAGTTTCTATTGTTTGATCTGATTTTTTTATTTACGCTACCTTGCATCAAAGCATTGACGACTTAATTGAATCGTAATCGACTCAACATCTTCCATTTTGAGACCGATAAACAGTCTTGTATATACTAGAAGTCNCAGTGTCCAAGAGGTCAGCACCCAAAGCACCAAGAGCCAATGCCCAAGCACTTGGGGCGCCGCTTAGGGTTGCCCCTTGTCCTCTTACGTCCTCTTGGCTCCAACGCAAGCCCAAGCCTACTCCAATTCAAGTTCAAGGCAAGACCAAGCCCAGTCCAGCTCAGGATCATCCTCCAACCGAATAGGGACACGAGCGAGAGAAAATCGGGATACAGAGATCTAATTCTACTAAGATTGTACTTACCAAAATTGGGGAAGACTTCTCACTCATGTGACCGCCTTACCCTAACTATATAATGTACGTCNTTAGCATTTTTATCATTCGATATTGTTTTGCAAGGACCTCAAAATCGATGACTAATATCATGACTTTGAATTATAATAAATCATAATGAGCAAAGAGAAAACAACAATATTGTTAAGAGACGTGACTTACAAAGACGTAGATGATAGAGAAACTGGCAATAGTCCAGTATCTTCCCAAGTAGGCATCAGCTAGAAAGGCACCAATCAATGGTGTAACATAGCATGTTCCTGACCAATTTGTGACATTATTGATTGCCACAACATTACTCTGGTTCAACTGAGATTTGAGATAGTTAACCATATTTGTGTTAATCCCATAGTATGCCAATCTTTCACAACATTCATTACCTGTGAGAAAAAAAAATCGGGACGTTTTGCATCGTTAAAGCATTCAAGCCAAAACCAATTCATAACGAGGATCATAACCTCGAAAAAAACAACCCATCTTATGTCTAAACTAACCGGTTTGGAACGAATTCAATTTGGTAAAATATAAGGCGAAAAGCTTGAAAAAAAACATACCAAGAATGTAAGGACATGCTTTCCAGTTTCCCGTTTCATTCTTGATGGCTGGATTGTTACGGAAATCGGTTGTTCCATCTTTGGTATGTATGTCTTGTTCTGCCATGGTTGTTGCCATAATCAAAAACTCCCTCGGCCTCTTCTGTTCTGATTTATCGTCTCATTTCACATTCAACTATCATTTATCAAGTAGTGCAGGTTTGTTTGCAAAGACGATGTTTGATTTTTCATGTCATTCTCTTTGAAGTTCTTTTACGGCCCGGCCTTCTTTTGGGCTTCTCTCTGCCCTTCTTTGGGTGTTTTTTTCTCTGTCACTCAAGTGAGAGAGAAGCTCCGGGCTTAAAGCAGAATTGGCAAAAGGGAGGCCTCTTCAGGCCTCGAGTTCAAGAGACTTGGGAACTTATCTGTCATATTTATATAATAGTCGTCTCCCTTGAGTTGTTGTGGTTAAAAGGTTGAAAGTTGAATTTAAATGATTTATCATANCTTCTACACCTCCCTGTATACACACTCATCTCTTATTCTCTAAGCACTGTAATACTCCTGGAGAATACTCTCTTCGGTGATTTCNCCTTGAGTTGTTGTGGTTAAAAGGTTGAAAGTTGAATTTAAATGATTTATCATAATTAAAAAGTTTAAAATTAAATGAATTACCATAATTAAAATGTTAAATTGTAATACAAACTGTTAAATCTAAATAATCTGAACTGTTGTTATATTTTTTTAACAAAGTAACTTAAATAATTCAAACAAGAAATTCTATTTTATTATTATAGATTAAAAAAACTATTCAATGATTACGTGCCATTCTAGGAGAGAAGATAAGATGAATAACTCGCGTAATCACGAGTTTTGTCAAATCCGTTTAATTATATTCTATGTTCTAAAATTATCTATAATCCTCAATAAAATAAAATGACAAAATGAAATTCATATAGTCAAATCCATATAGTTGTGACCAGAGGGCAGTTCAACAACATTAAAACAAAAGTGTGGGTTTTAGGCCCCAATTTTTTAGAAGGCCCATAATTTTAGGTACATTATTAACTTAGAAAAAATTTAAATTCTTTAAATTTTAAACTCTAAAAAAAAGGCCTCAAAAAATTAAGTACAGTCAAAATTTTTATTATAATAATTTTAATCCATGATCCAATTCATAACATTAGAAACCCAAAAAAAATTTAAAAAAAATAAAAAGTATTCAAAAATCAACTCATATTTTCCCTTACCCACACACTCTCTCTCTCTGTAAAAATAAGTAAAAAAATTTTTAAAAAAAATTAAAATTAAACACTCTTGGTAAACCACAAAACAAAAGTTAAAACATTTTTCTCGGCAACACTAGCACGACTTTCTTTTTTCTCTCTCTCACATTATAAATTAAAATAAATTAATTTTTTTAAAAATTAATATTAAAAATAAAAAAGACTGTTATTTAGTATTTTTGCTTTTGGTCTCAAATTTCCTCGACTCACCCCAGTTGTGACAAGTTTTTATTGAGTTAGATCAAGTTGAGTGGCAAGAGCGTATGCCTCGGTACTTCGTAAGAAAGATTAAGAAATACATTACTGTTTTTTTCAGTGGCATATTTTGAACATGGTGTGTAATTTTGCATGGCACACTTTTCAATCCAACCTTAAATGTATAGAAGTAGTGTCCGTTTCAGAGGTGGGTGGTATGGTCAATAGCAAGAATCATAAAATCGAGGGGGATGGATGTGTAATAAATGCAAATCAGTCAAGCAGCAAATGTGACATTGAAGAAACATGTTATCCACCCTTTGTTTTTGTGTCTCTGGCACACTTTCTTAGAAAGAGGAATTACTGCTACAATATAAAAAGAAGGGCAATGCTATAAAGAAGAGAGAAAGGGAAATGTCATGCACACCAAATTTGTGTATTAAATTATTGTCAATCGTCGGATCAATAGGACCCACTGTCATCCAATGGCTGACAATGATTTGATGCACGCTTTTGGTGCACATAGAATTATTCTAAAATGATAATTGGTGTTGTTTTGCTTGGAATCTGAATTCACTATAATCCTCAACAAAATAATTATTGAACTTAACCTAGCTTAGCCCCCAACATGTTCTTAATTATTTTTTCTCTCTCTCTCTCTCTCTCTCTCTCACTCAGTGGCGGCCCGACACATATTGAGGCCTAAAGCGACAAATTTGAATAGAATCTTTTGTTTTGTTTTATTTGTTTTTAACATTACTACAATTGCTTTTTTTAAAAAATAATTCTTGCTTGTTAAAATACACATTCTTAATCAAATTATTGTATTCTCAAATTTTGTTATCATATATTGATGAGCCCGAATCTGATTGGGCCAAATCCAAAAAAAATAAATTGAGAAGCCTAAATAATCAGAACCCAAAAGAGAGCCCAAGAAAGCCCAAGTTAAGAAGCGAACGTCCAAGAGGCCAACGTCTAGGAGGCCAGCGCCCAAGAGGCCAGTGTCCAAGAGGTCAGCACCCAAAGCACCAAGAGCCAATGCCCAAGCACTTGGGGCGCCGCTTAGGGTTGCCCCTTGTCCTCTTACGTCCTCTTGGCTCCAACGCAAGCCCAAGCCTACTCCAATTCAAGTTCAAGGCAAGACCAAGCCCAGTCCAGCTCAGGATCATCCTCCAACCGAATAGGGACACGAGCGAGAGAAAATCGGGATACAGAGATCTAATTCTACTAAGATTGTACTTACCAAAATTGGGGAAGACTTCTCACTCATGTGACCGCCTTACCCTAACTATATAATGTACGTCCTCTCAACATTGGGGGCACGCCTCTGAAACTTCTACACCTCCCTGTATACACACTCATCTCTTATTCTCTAAGCACTGTAATACTCCTGGAGAATACTCTCTTCGGTGATTTCACCCATTAATAAAAGACTCGGGCCACCGCTGCTATTTACGAGAGTGGAGTAGGTCACCTGGACCGAACCACTATAAATCCATGTATTAACACTTTATCTACTCCTTTACCATTAATTGTCTGTTTATTTCTCATTGATTGTCTCTGTTTATATTCTTGACTGTTAATCTTGTGTAATACCGATTTTGCATCATCAGTTTGACACCGTCTGTGGAAAACAACTAATTTTTCTACTCTATCTTTCAATCCATGACAATCACTACCTGATCAATGAGCCAACAACTGGGAGACAATAACCCGGCTCACTGGGAGGACGATCTGCCTCCCTTCACCCCGTCTTAACTATCTACTACTGCGATTCCTGCCGGACAACAACAACAACAGCTCCTCCAAACCATGTAGCTACTGGTGAGCCAAAACCAGCAAATCGTCCAACTCATGCTCGCCCAAGGGGGCGTCACCCCTCACCCTGTGGGAGGATCTCCACTCAGTCCAATAGGAGAAGAGCAACGACTTGTCCTTTCTGGGCGCCAAGCAACCCCCCACCATGAGGCCCTTCGCCAGAACACTCTAGGGCCGCGTCGAAGCGCCCCTCGCCCAGCAGTCCCTCCTTAGCACACAAGGAGTTCATGAGTTCCCCCTCCTCATGAACCAGTGCAAGAGAACGAAGACGGAGGAAGCCAATATGGAGACAATGAAAGCCAGTACCATCACCCGACTGAGGATGTCCCCAATCACTGGGACGGGAAGATTAGGGAGGTACAAAATCAACTTGGTAATGTTCTCATTACCNATCAACTCATATTTTCCCTTACCCACACACTCTCTCTCTCTGTAAAAATAAGTAAAAAAAATTTAAAAAAAAATTAAAATTAAACACTCTTGGTAAACCACAAAACAAAAGTTAAAACATTTTTCTCGGCAACACTAGCACGACTTTCTTTTTTCTCTCTCTCACATTATAAATTAAAATAAATTAATTTTTTTAAAAATTAATATTAAAAATAAAAAAGACTGTTATTTAGTATTTTTGCTTTTGGTCTCAAATTTCCTCGACTCACCCCAGTTGTGACAAGTTTTTATTGAGTTAGATCAAGTTGAGTGGCAAGAGCGTATGCCTCGGTACTTCGTAAGAAAGATTAAGAAATACATTACTGTTTTTTTCAGTGGCATATTTTGAACATGGTGTGTAATTTTGCATGGCACACTTTTCAATCCAACCTTAAATGTATAGAAGTAGTGTCCGTTTCAGAGGTGGGTGGTATGGTCAATAGCAAGAATCATAAAATCGAGGGGGATGGATGTGTAATAAATGCAAATCAGTCAAGCAGCAAATGTGACATTGAAGAAACATGTTATCCACCCTTTGTTTTTGTGTCTCTGGCACACTTTCTTAGAAAGAGGAATTACTGCTACAATATAAAAAGAAGGGCAATGCTATAAAGAAGAGAGAAAGGGAAATGTCATGCACACCAAATTTGTGTATTAAATTATTGTCAATCGTCGGATCAATAGGACCCACTGTCATCCAATGGCTGACAATGATTTGATGCACGNGTTCCATCTTTGGTATGTATGTCTTGTTCTGCCATGGTTGTTGCCATAATCAAAAACTCCCTCGGCCTCTTCTGTTCTGATTTATCGTCTCATTTCACATTCAACTATCATTTATCAAGTAGTGCAGGTTTGTTTGCAAAGACGATGTTTGATTTTTCATGTCATTCTCTTTGAAGTTCTTTTACGGCCCGGCCTTCTTTTGGGCTTCTCTCTGCCCTTCTTTGGGTGTTTTTTTCTCTGTCACTCAAGTGAGAGAGAAGCTCCGGGCTTAAAGCAGAATTGGCAAAAGGGAGGCCTCTTCAGGCCTCGAGTTCAAGAGACTTGGGAACTTATCTGTCATATTTATATAATAGTCGTCTCCCTTGAGTTGTTGTGGTTAAAAGGTTGAAAGTTGAATTTAAATGATTTATCATAATTAAAAAGTTTAAAATTAAATGAATTACCATAATTAAAATGTTAAATTGTAATACAAACTGTTAAATCTAAATAATCTGAACTGTTGTTATATTTTTTTAACAAAGTAACTTAAATAATTCAAACAAGAAATTCTATTTTATTATTATAGATTAAAAAAACTATTCAATGATTACGTGCCATTCTAGGAGAGAAGATAAGATGAATAACTCGCGTAATCACGAGTTTTGTCAAATCCGTTTAATTATATTCTATGTTC